GAGGAAGCGAGAAGATGGGAAGAAGAGGAATAGGTAAGCACGAACGACCACTTTGAACTCTAGTTAAGTAATTATTGAAAATAATTACCATTGTGATACCTCTGTAACATATGCTAGACGACCTTGCGTCCGTTACATTAATTATGAAACCTATGAAATCAGCTACTACCCCTCCTATACGGAAACAACTAATAAGCAAAAATTTTCTTACCTTTTTTCCATGGTCCCCTGATTCTCCAGCTCAACAGGCGGAATTCCTTTGAAAAATGTGGCGGACAGATATCTGAAGAGTAAATCTCATTGACAAAAAAAAATTTCAAAAAAAGACGTTTTTGAGATAGAGGTGGAAAGAAGCAATGATCAGGATAAAGACAATTTACAAAACAAGTTTATAAGCTGACAAGCTAAGAGGTAACTAATTGGTGCAGACATAAGAGAGCTTTCTTAGCTAAAGATACAATAGCACAGCCGCTCTGTGTCAGGAACATCGGTACACTACCAGGAAAATGGCGCGATTTTGGACTGATATTCTCCGAATCGATATTAAGTTAATCATATTGTAGAGCAAAAGTTCACGCGTACGCAGGCATTTTCTAGAACTTTGGCCCCATAGGATATGGTATTATGAATGTTGTTTAACGAATCATGTTCTTTGTATTCTCACTTGCTATTGCTTTCAAAAATAAAATAAGAACTCACGTAATTTTGTATTTAAAATTTTAACTTTTATAGCAGACAAGAAAAGCTAATCATAGCTATTTTATTTTATATCTCTAACGGGATACGATAAGAAAATGGCAGATAGCTGAAAAAAGAGGTACAACCGGCTGGCTCAATGGTTTAATTTCTGCATAGAAAGTCTCTCTAGGTCAAAAACCAAAACAAAATAAATAATTAAAGCAGCTAACTGTTACATGTGGACCAGGAAATTGGCTTTCAAATAAAAGAACACAGTATCGGTAGCTAATTGGGGTAATTGAGACACCCATGAAGGCAGTGATGGTTGAAGGTACATATATGAAAAGGGATGTCTGAGATATCACAGCAGTCAATCAATTCATTCCATCAATTTGCCTATGCTCTGCTTTCTTGAGGTTAATCCTATGTCCGAAAGAAATAGGTCTAAACATCAAGAAAATATCAATAGCAGAACTTGCTGTAGCGCAAAAAGGCACAGAGAAGGCGATGGTCCAAGTATGAGAGCACCTAAGTTATAAGTACTCAAGGTTCGGATGATTATCGATGCCGCGTTGTTAAGGACTTAGAACATCTGTAATAGTGAAGGATATTGAGTGTGAAAAAATACGCTTAACGGCTACGAGGAGTGATAATATTGAGCTACTCAACAGTATGTAATCCAATTCTTGGCTGGCATACAACCGTCAGGTCCGATAAGACTCCATGCCAATGACGGATTGTCACATGTGCTAATTAGAAATGATAAGGCAGAATACGGTGCTATTTTTCTTAGTGTTTGCTTAAGCATCTTTCAAACATTGGGATTAGCTTTATCATTACAAAAAAAAAATTTCGGATGGAGCACTGGAGAAAGCTGACCAGAGCGGAGTGTGGCGCGTGCTGAACAGGCCCCCTCTGTGGCCAGTTGAGTAAAATTTCTTTTTTGAAGTTTATTGATTTCAAAAAATTTTCGAAAGGAAATTTCATTTGGTAAGTTGAAATAAGTTATTTTTCTTCTTCCTTCCAAATATTCTACACTAATAACAAAAATATGCGTTCCCTTTCGATGAAGAGGAAAGAAGGAGAGGCACCAAGAAATGCAAACAAAAGCTCTGATATAGATTTTTTAAACCGTTCTTGTTTTTTGTTGTTTGAAAGATCAATTCCAATCATTGTATCGTATCTATGCTTAATATATAATTTTGAAAAAATAAAAAATCTAATACAGAGTGGCGACAAAGTAGATCGACCGTATTTTCATGCACGATATCTTTCAATTTTGCCGCTAAAAGCATCACAAGATATAATCGGTTGTAGGTAAGGTATAGTCTTAGCGACTTTTCATAGAATTTCAGTGAAGTTTCGCTGAATTTCCAAGCAGCCAAACATTACGATTTTCTTTGCAAATTCCACTTCAAAAAAGCCGGCAGAAAACTAGCATAAACAAATAAGTGCTAAGTCAGTCATATTTTGAAAAGAATGCATATTTCTACTCAAAGTGCAGAAAGACTAAAAACATTAATAAATGAAAGTGTGAGCGATGTGGTCAAGCCACCCACACTTTTCGAGCCAAAAAAGCATTCTTCTCAAATTTTGTAATCTAGTGAGAAAACGATTTCATAAATTTATCTCTAAAATGATCTACTAAAATGAATGCTTTTTGTTCAATTTGTCGAAATTCATTTGGTCCCACATAAAAACCGTCTCGTAGCCACCGTTAAAAACGTAAAAATTCCGGAAATGATGCCATCACTCTTTCTAACTTTGTATAGTTTCAGAAAATCTTATGTTGTTTATTAGGGTTTTCGGCCAATTTGGCATAACATATCTATTACGTTAGTTGAGATATTAAAATTTGTGGACAGTATGATTTTGAAAAAAAGACGGCTTAAATCAGATTTTAGAACAAATCCATAATTATGTACATGGACGATAACATCAAGAAAATAGTGACACTTTTCAATTAATTTGATATAAAATACAAGATTTTGATTTTTTACATTAATTACATGGAAGTGCTCATTGCCAAATCTAAGTATAAGCATCACTACATCATCAGGAATGTTTCCGCGCATTTCTTCACGCAAACGGTTTGTTAGCGATGGAGCACTCTTGCCACTTCACTTTCAGTCCATCCATCAGCCATAATTGCTCCACTGCTAAAGAACAGCTCGCGGGTGGGCGCTACCCGGAACATTTCTTTATTCAATTCCCACTATCATTCCATATGTTTCAACTCGCACTTAGTGCAAAATCTAAGAAATCTCCACACATATATGGAACTCAAAATATAAAGTGTTTTCCTATTCGCCGGAGTTGGAGGTGAAATGGTGTAGGCTGCGTGAATGGGTCCGCTGTCTTAAAAAATCAATGGATATTTATAATTCATGTGAGGCTAGAGTCCACGAGGATTCTTCTCGAACCTTGGCAAAAAGTCCATGTGATCCAAAGTATCATCCATTGAGTGATGATCTTTGTACCTTGCTCCCTTCCGGCTTTATTTTTACTTTCATCAATCAATGTGGGTCATTTCAAAGGTCCAGAAAAGCTATATCTCGATCCAAGCTTCAAGAGAAGTAATCCAAAAGAATCTGGAGGACAAAGGACATGAGCTCGCTATCAAGGAAAAACAAAGGGAGAAAGAGGAGAGGCGGG